TAGTGGTTTGTGAGGGTTCTTTCGACGGGTCCTTCCCACACCCCTCGCTAGCTAGGGAGTTTTGTGATGCGGCGATTTCGTCATCTTCGTCCAGCGAACAGAAATTGACTTCTTCCCGACATGCCAGAGCTTCGAGGTACAAGTCACGCAAGTGTCGAGTGGGTGCAGATCTAATCATCTCGGAGTTCAACGTCTAGCATGCACGACCACGCAGCGGCACACTCGTAAGCCACGGCGGGTTATCAGATCATGAGTTGAAACTCTTACTGCGCAGTGCATACTTTCTGACTTGGCAATCCTGACTCCCCATGATCACCACCGGTCAGTCGGCTCAAGCCTTTCTCAAGTATGGCCCTGTGTCCTCCACCAGGCTCCCGCTCTTGCACGGGCTCCAAGTTTTCTGAATCAGACGTGGTGCTGGTGGTTGTTGCTTTTCTGTGACGGCCCTCCTGATGTCCTCCATCCGGATACTTAAAATCCCCCAGCCCCGCAAGCCTCGAAGGCCTATGGCGAGTAACGGCTATAGTGGTGATTGAGTGTAGACATTTGGGGTCGAGCTGCAATTTGACGGACCATGGTTCTGCTGAGCGATCACAAGAGCTGTGTCCTAGTCCCTCCCTGGTGCAACTCAGGATTCAACATGACCCGTATGGAAGAAGCATGATCCCGCCCACCCCTGCGTGTTTCGTTTGGAGCCTTCCTGGACATCTGGGAGTTTCAGAAGGGGATGCCGTATCTTGTGGTCCTTGTGATAAAGTATCCTGGTCTTGTTAAGATCCTTTAGGGTAGGGCCATGTGTGAGCTCCCCTGTCACGTATCAAGAGCCGTCTCTTCAGAAGTCTTCAGCAGTGGTGTGCAGAGAGACCACCAAGCGCTTGGTAGAGCATGACGATGATACTGATGGCTGCTGCTCTGATGGCCATTTGCCCCAGAGAGTTTCTAGGTTGGGGTCGACATATATCTTTCTTCCCAGCATGCCTAGGACCTAGGGCCGAGGTGACGATGACGAGTCTTGAGACTTCACGATGTGGGATAGTACATTATGCTATAGTAAATTGTAGTATGTTATAGGAGGGTCTAGATGCGACTGAGGATTCGCATCGCCATTGCGCCGCTGAGCGCGACACCTGTCAGGACAGGGCCCCTCGGTTGGCTCCCTTCCTTTTTTGTGGTTTGACTCTTAGGACAACAGTTCTCCAAGTGTGATCTTGAATTTACATGCACTGCGTTTCCCGGCAGAACTTGCCCAGGGTTTCGAGGTGATGGAAGAGGGTGCCCCATTATAAGTTGTAAGAACGAGTCCTCCCGCAAACTTTGACTGTTTATCAGTTGTCGTGAAGCCTTGACTGCCTTGCGCAAGCGTGAGAGTCGAAACCCTGAACTCTAAACCCTCAATTCTGTAAGCCCTAAGCTGCAAGTAGCAGCACTTCAAAGCCCAGCTCTCGTTGCGCACTCTGCGGTGCTCCACATGCAGCTGTGTGGCTCGACCATGGCATTGACACTTCGTAGTTCGAGATGGCTGTGCATCCTGTGTCTGCGCTGCGCCTTGGCTACACAAAGACCTAAGATTTGCCGCTTGTCAGTGGGCTGGCCGATGCCCAAACTCTGCAGCCTCGAGAAAGTTCCGCGCGAAAACTTGAGCCATGTGTTTCCGTCCCTTCGGCCGAGGTGCTTGGGCTCTTGACTATGTGACATACCGCAGCTCTCTTGCATTTAGCACAACGACACACTGTTCTGCCTGCCTCAGACTTCTTGTTCCTTGCGAGCCAAACGTGTTGCTGCCATGGACCAAGGATGGTACGGATATCATGAACGATTCGCTAAGACTTCTCAGTGGCCCGAATCATCCGTCGATGTTTGCCAAGACTTTCCTGCAGCAGCTTGCATTAAAGAGGCTTGACGGGCCGTCCTTGAGTGGCTGTAGCATTGGTAGCTCCAGATCTGCAAAGGAAAGATTATTCACTACCCGAATCCCTGAAGGCTTGCCCTCATTCGTGCCCTCATACGTTTGAGTCTAGGCGAAGATTTGGGGCCCTTGGATGACCACTAGCTGCCACTAGCTCCTGCCTGTCAGACCCATCAGCACTCTTCGGCCGTTGCTCAATGCAGCCTTGCACAGTAACAACACATCATATGACTTAGGAGGACCCTCCCCTGGCTGCGCTGGGTAGTTGCAAGTTCGGATCGGATGACATGAGCTCGTGCGGGGCCGAAGGCTAGAGTACTTCGGGATCTTGGCGGTATGGACCCAATAGCTCTCTGAGCAAAAAGACTGTTGATGATCATGCTTGTATCCTGTCTCAGTTAAGACTGCTAGCCCGACCATGAGTCGTCAGCAGATGATGCAAGTGCTTGCCGCTTGCGCTGGTTATACTAGTCACGATGCTCGTGACTGGCAACCCCTTGCCCAACAGTAATAATAGCAGACATCAGTGCCGACTTTGGGTCAGACAAGCAATGCGGGCTTGTCCTTGCAAAGGAGGCAAACAATCGTGACAGAATGAGCCCACCTTGGATGTCTAGCCAAGCCTTCGCTCAGGTTTGTGTCAATCTTTACCTCAACCAATGCGTGAAACTGCCCGAATCGGTGAGGGTGCCATGGACCCGAAGCTTGGCAGGGCTTTGACGAGGATTGTTTACTGCCTTGGGTTTCGGGCTACGGGTGCGGTGATGGCAATGGCACGCACGACCATGACTGCTTGACGCACACGTACGTGTGTGTGTGTGTCGGTCGTGCTGCCGCTCCTAGCTATTAAAAATTCCCTTGTCGGTCCTTCTTTGTTGTCAATGCATGATAGGCCGATTTGCCAGTCAGTGAACACAGTAATGCTGTTTTCCATTCAACTTTTACGGCTATTGCGCTTGTCACTCCTTCTGAGCTGCATATGTGTATTGACATGTTTGCACATCCTGGCTCTCGACTGTTCAACCTTTCAAACTTCCCAGAGAACAGCTGGACCGTGGGAAATGTGAGCACTGGTCAAGAATTGCAGGCGCAACCTCCGAGAGCGCAAACCAGGAAGTTTGTGAGATAGGAAGCTGGCATGACTTTTGCAACGGCTTGCATTATGCAGAGTTGGCTGATCTTGTGGTGTTGTGTGCCACTATGTTAATCAGTGAATACCACCGCGTGCTCAGAGCGGTTCATCGTGTAATGTATGCTTGCTTCAAAGCCTGTGAACAAGATGAGCTCTCTGGCAAACGACACTTGACAGAACACGGTGCAGTGGAAACATCGAACCTGGTCTGAGTGTTTTGCAGTGGTTCTCCTGACCCGGGTGTAGCTTGCAGGGTGTGGGTTCTGAACTTGGGCATAAATGTTCATTCGTAGAATTTCATGTTTGGTTGAACTAGTCTGGACACTCGTAATTGGGTGCCTGCGTCGCGCTGTTCGCAGTTGCTGAACCTTACGGTAGTGGCCTGCTGTGGCTGCAGTGGTGTACAAGCTACTGGCTACTGACTGAATTAAGAAGAGTCCTACCCACTTGCTGGTGATGCCAAGGGATGGTGTGCATAGTTCTGGGCCGATCTGTCTTCATTACCGTATCTTTGCAAGCTTGGGTGCCACCGAACTTCCATAAACTCGCATAAGCTCCCTACGCTCAAAATGTCGTAGACTATGCCTGCATTGCAGCTGAAGCCCGAAATAGTGTGAGTGTGAGTGATTGAAGTGAGGTGTCATGAGGGGTCGTGCTTCGATGTTTCATGAAAGCTTCAACTTCCAGTGTTTCAATGCCAAGCTGGCACATCGTGTGCCATCATGTTGTCTGATGCACGTGCTCATATCCGTCTCTGTTTGCTGCCGAGGAAACATTACGGACCGGGATGCTGGCAGGGATATTTTCTACCCAGCTCGCGAGAGCAAGGGTGGTGCAGATTGGCAGCATTGTGCTGAGTCAGCTCTCGAGATAGGTCCCAGACCCACATTGCCAAACGAGAAAATGTGAGAGGCGGCTGGCGCGTGAATCTTTAGCAGGATTTTTCGCAGGAGCCGCTCCTGGCTCTATCTATGTCTATGTCTATTTCTATATATATATATAGAGAGAGAGAGAGAGAGATAGATAGATAGATAGATAGATAGATGGATAGATAGATAGATAGATTCCATCCCACAGCTGTAGTGCGCAGGATGCTAGGTAGGAATGATGATGAGCTTCATCGAGACCCGTCGCTGCTGCCAAGGACTATGTGCTGCTCACTGTCCAGAACATGCAGTTCGAGCCTAGTAGCCAAGGCTATCTGCACATCTACAGCGGCTGTAGCAACTTCGGCTGCAGAGGAACCCACCCCAATTAAATCTAGGCGCGGCTGGAAATCTTGCAGTCTTTTAGCCCCTCGGCATTCTCTACTAAAGCTTGGTGAAGTCGATCTGAGGTGAGAATTGCCAGGACTGCTACGCAGGCGCTTTCGAGCGGGTTTAGTTCTGAAAGGGGTCATTTTGCATGCCAAGTAGCAGACATGACACGGATCCCAGAAAGTCAGTGCTCAGCCATGCTATCCCCTGCGATGCAGAGCTTCAGGGCTTTCAGCGCAGGCTTAGGAGATCCATGCGAAGGTGTTGGACGTTTGCCGCAGGCACAGGGCAATCGCTCCATCCAGTACGGCTGCCGAGTCAGTGTGGCAGCACCGAAACACAATCCGTGCCCGGGCCGAACGACTTTGCAGATTTAACCATCTCTTTATACCCGCACTTTCGTGGAGAACCCCCGGAGGTTGAACCGACTCTAAAGATCTGACGCCTCGAAGTTCGCAGGACAGCTCCTAGCAAGTCCGAGCACAAGTCACCTCCTAGGAACATGGGGTCCCTGTTCTGTGAAGGATGCAGGAGCCCAGGAACCCTCGAGCTTGAAGATCGCGGAGGGGGCATGTCTTGAGGCATAGGCAGAAAAGGCTCACTACCCGAACTTTTGGCCCTCCCGGCCCTGAAAGAGAGGATCCTCTTCCTCTCCTCGATTCCTCGATTCCTTGGATACAAGCCTACCTTAAAGCCTTGCACCCAGGTTTGGGGTTTGCTTTACAATCCAGGCGATGGCCGGGCGCCCAGTGCTCCCCAGGCCTCATTGCCTTCAGGCTGCGGGCTTTCAGGGATGCAGGGCTGGCTTCGGGGCTTCGCATTTTCCAGAGAGGTCTGAGGAACAGAGCTTCTGGGCCCTTTCTGAAGGCTTCGATGATGACTTCCAAAAATCATGTACCCGAAGGGGTTGAAACGCAATTGTCCTAAGCACCGAAGAACACTCGAGATCGATGGGGATGCCTCGGGAATGCATTGGGAAAACCGGAGGATTCTTTGGAAATCGCAGGTTGGCGGCATTTGGTGTTTGCAGTTTTGAGCGGAGGTGGTTCCACCCGGCAAAGGCTCCTCCTCGTCAGAACTAGCGGGTTGGGCTTCCTGTCGAGGGGGGCGATCGCAGAGGCTACGAATGCCTGCGGTCGTCTAGTGCTGCTTCGAGGAGGTTTTGCTGATCGGACTGTCCGCACGTGCTCTGAGGTGGATACGACACAACGTTCAATTGCGTGGACTCCCTGGACAACTATTGGGAGCAGTATGAAAACAATGACTTGTTCGCCACCATCATGCGCGTTTCCATTGCCGGCCTTATAGTACCTGCGGCCGCACTTCAGCATGCCTCTCTGACAATCGCACGAATCTCCTCCTCATCGCTACTGCTCCTCATCCAGCCACAGAATAGACACTAGACCCCAACCCCACCCCTACCCGAAGAATCCTGACTCCGGAGCCACGAAGTAAGTGAACTTCGAGGTGCTTGTCGTCATAACCCTTGGCTCCTTCATCTACCTGCGGGTTTGCAAGAGGGAGATCCACCCGCCCTACGACATGGCATACAATAGTTCGAGCGTCCGATCCACCCGAGGCCCTGTCGGAGCTTCGAAGAAGGGTTTGCAGGGTTCGAGGATTCGAAGGGGGTATTGAAGGGCATCAAGGATTCTGTCTCCGGGGTTTTAGCGCACTTGGAGCTTTCGGGCACTGTAGGGTCAGGTTCCAGAATTTGGGGACAAAGACAAGCTGTCTGGTGAACAGGCGAGCATCCGCGCAGTTTAGGAGAGAGCTTTTTGGGTCGTAATATAGAATTCTATAGTATAGCATAGTCTATATACGCACTGAAGCCTTGTTTGGTAGCTCACACGTACAGTGGTGAGAGTGACTGAGTTGTTTTCTGACTTTCGCTGCTGAAAGCGAGGCGTGTGGATATACGCCAAGTACTGTGCTGCCTTAGTATCACTTCTAGGTGTGCATGAGCCTCTGACTTGTGTGCTTTAAATTCTCTTGAACATTCGACACCTGCCATGCAGTGTCCGCGGACGTTCCCAAGTGGGAGCCAAAAATAGTATAGTATGGTAAGGTATGGTATGGCATGGTATGGCATGGTAGTACAGTGCAGTATAGTATAGCACAATGTTTGACTGAATCACTTCTGCCGCTGCGGTAGCACCCTCGTCCTTGACTGAAATTCAACGTTTTCTCATTGGCACCAGAACGTCTACTTGCCTTTGCTGCCTTCTGTTGTTGCTGGTTTGGTCAGTGAGCGTGTTGTTCCAGCTTTGTAGCCACAAGGCCAGCATGCATGTTGACTTTTGCTGTTTAAACTGTTGTCGCTGCTGCCGATGCTGCCGACAAAGCCTACGTCCTTTGCGCATCCGCCGGGTCTCAATTATGAACTCACCAGTCTGCAGAACAGTCGCCTTCGTCGTCAAGGGGTACATTAGTTAGTGGCACCATGCGGCCTCTTGACCCTAGTGGCGCGAGATACTGGTGATGCCCGTGATGATTTGGATTGCGACGGTTTCAACGAACGCCCTGGTGAATAGAGTGCTGACACTGTCTATCTATCGATCTATCTATCTATTCATCTGTATATATATATACACAGACACATATATATATATATACACATGTATGTATGTAAAAATATATCTATATAACTATATCTATCTATCTATCTATATATATATATAGATTATCATAGTGAATGGTGGTGATGGTGATGATGGTGATGATGATGATGATGGTTGGAGCTGGCCACACACCCCTTGTCTCGCTGCCATTGGTGTTGACACCAGTAGGAGTAACACCACCCCGAGCTGTTTTCAAGAGGCTGATCCTGAAAAAGCAAGCCCTCAACCCAAGACATGGCTCTTGCGGGCACAGGAGATGGCCTCGTGCAGCCTGCGATCACAAAGGAGCAGGTGGGCTAGGGTCTCTTCAGCAACCTGCCAACTCCGGGAGTTACCCTCCGAATCCGAAAGCCGGCTACGGCATTGCGAAGACCACCTACATCCATGTGTCGTGCTATATGTCTTGAATGAACAGAGACCCTCAACCACCGACCGCGCCTGATGAACCTCGACTGGCTTGTCCGAGCTGTGAAAGTGTAAACCATGGTGACAGTCAAAACTTGCAGAAGTCTTCGTTCTGGACTCAGCCGAGGCTTGCCGGTGAAGTCTAGCTGTTCTGCTTAGACCCCGAACCTTGCTGTCCTGTTAAGATACCATGTAGAGTAGAGAGAATGCACTTCGAAATCCTGTGCTGCAGCAAAGTTTGGACATTCATTTATGAGAAGATCATGGTGCGCTCTGCCATGTCACGCTTACATCGCACGAGTCCACAGGCCTGTAATCCCCAAGCTCTAAACACCATGGACCCCCATGAACCCTAAACCTGAAGCATCGACAGACCTCCCCTAAGCCCTTCCGGGCTTCGAGGTCGAAGCCGCTCTGCCGATTGTACAGTTAGAAGAGGACACCTGGGTTGGATTCCGGGCTCCGAGGGTGCAAAGAAAATGGGGTTTGAGGGCCAACCGGGCAAAGGTAGGCTGCCAACTCGGGCCTGCAGGATGGCGCTATGCATAGCATAGTTCAGCATGGTATGGTACAGTATAGTACTTGTAGAGTATGTCTGTCTAGGCTAGTATAGTAAAGTAAGGTATAGTACAGTAAAGTAAAGTATGGTTATATAGTATAGAATATAGCAGGAGCTTACTGAGCTGAACCTTTTGACCGCGAACCGCAACTAAAGCAGTTGAAGGAAGCCAGAGCAGAGGGCTTAGGGTTTAGGGTCCAGTGGGTGCCTCTGTTGGTCAACGGGGGCTGCAGACAGCAGCTACATCTCTCCTCCGTGAGAGCAGCATTTGGGCGTTAGACGCGAGTTGCATCATAGGATGGTAGATTAGGTACCACGGTATCGAGTATCGTAGTATAGTATAGTATAGTATAGTATAAGTATAGTATAGTATAGTATAGTATAGTATAGTATAGTATAGTATACTATAGTATAGTATGGTATGGTATATATGGTATATTACTGCGGTATATGGTTGTGGTAGATGGTTATGCTATATGGTATTGGTATGTTATTTGGGTATGTTCTATCGTTTGTCACAAATATATTATCTTGTATTACTTTTATATGCTTTACTATACTAAATCACATTACAAAATGCTTTTTTTATGTGATTATGTTGTATTGTATTATATTCCCTTGTATTCTATCATATTATAGCATATTATGCCATATCAGTTTTGATAGTGATAAGAACATATCATGTATTATATTACAACCTGGTTCGGAAGTAGAAGGCTGGCCTGCCGTAAGTTATTTCGTGCATATGGTGCTGTAAAATCGAAAAGCTATGCTGGCCACAGCTTGCGCCGTCGGCTGCAGCACGAATGAAGCATGCAAGGCTCTCATTTCCTAGGTAGCAGGGGTTAGGGGCTCAGGTGTTGATGTCATTGTCAAACCCCCCAAACAACCCTTCATACCGCAGTAATATACCATAATATACCATACTATACTATACTATACTATACTACACTATACTACGATACCCCGAACCCAAGGCCCGAGTACCCCCGACCACCAGGAGCAGACCTGCTCTGTTTGCCTTGACACAGTGGGACCAGGGGATGAAGCGCGGCGTCTTCAGTGCCAGCATGCGCCTGGGACGGTAGCCGAAGTATCGGGTTATAGGGTTTTGGGGCTTTGGGGTTTGGGGTACTGAGAAAAAGGATGAAGTCATGAGAGCTGAACCTTGGCGTGCTTGAGACTTTCAGGCCATTGCACAAGTCCTGACGCAAAAAGGGGTTTAAAGACCTGGTCCCCTACAGCAAAGACCATCTGTCTTCAGAGAACTTGATACAAGAAAGGATTAAGGGTTTAGGGGATTTTGAGACCTTCGGGCGGTTGCACAAGTCCCGAGACCAAAAAGGGACTGTTGGGGCCTGGGGGTTTAGGGCTCAGCAGGTTAAGGTGAAGTCACAGGGCATTCAGAAGCTTGTAGGCCGGCCGTGAGCTGAGGGGGGGATCCTTTGGGCAACTGACCAGAAGCGTGGCAATAATTGTAGTTCTGAGAGTAGTTGTCACTGTAGTGATAAAGAGACTTAGAGCAGCTCATACCAACCAGGATGATATCACCGCCGCTGTGCATCCGCGAGGGTTTTGGGGATTGTTGGATAGCTTGGATTGGAGACTTCTTTGGCATTGGGACCTGGTGTGCCTGATGTTCACGATTCTCTCTCTCTCCAACACATCTCCGAGGCATTCCATGCCGAGTGCATCATGACATGGTGTTGTCACCGCGGACAACACGTGATCGAGTGCCCCATGTGCAGACAGCGACATCAACCCACCAACGAGGCCATCGCAGCACAAAAAATGGGCGGAAGAACTAGCAGATAACAGTATTTCCTTATCGTCCCTATATGATAAGCATCGTATGATATTTTAACCATTAAGGCTCCTATATTAGGAAGCTGTACACATTTTGGGTTTTCGGCTGCCGGGGCTAGGAGTGCGAGTTTCGAAGCATGTGCGGGGTTTACATAGAGCCCTAGATTCCCTAGATGCTTCAACGCCGCGATCCTCTTATAAGAAGCCCGAAATGGTAAGGTGGAGCCCCTTACTCGAAGAAGCTTTCCAGAGCCTCCAAACTTAAAGCCCCAACCCTAAACTCCAAAAAATAACCTCCCTGGAACACTAAACCCTAAACCCTAAACCCTTTGTCCTTGCTAAGTGGGAGGGAAAAAACCTTTGTCCGAGTGTGATTGCTGAAGCCCTAACAAACCCCTCCCTGGAGGCCGATAGGACTCCAGGGCCGGCTCCGAACGTGGTTGGTGCCGATGACGGCAATCGGAACCCTTTTCTGGGCTCTTGTTTTATAGGGGATTTAGTTTAAGTTAACACAATAAAGAAACCATGTTATCTATTATAATCGATCCCCATATTACGGCAGCTTAAATTCATCTCCCTTCAAAAGAACCCGGTCTTTTTGGTAGGACGGCGAGGAGACCCAAAGAAGCCGAAACTTAGGAGGAATCCCAAGTCCCTGTCTTTGCAGCGGGGTACCTCTGCCTTTGTGTCGGAAGGATGGGGCAGGGGCTAAGGCGGGAGAGCTGAGTCGCAAGGATCGGGCTTGATTCTTGGGGGCCTAGGAGGCTTTGAGGATTTCAGAGTTCAACCCCGATTTCCTTTAGGATTGAGCGTGGTTCGCAGGGAGGCGCGGGACTGATGATCAATGATGAAGTTTAGATGGCCTGCACCTGCCCTGATTCAAAGCGCCCGAAGTGTTTGACCATGTGTACATTGGGGCGTCCTTAGTTGGCGTCACTCTTATGCGTGTCCTTATTAGTTTCATAATGCGGATCCTCTTTTTCGCGCGTTCTTTTGCTAGGGCCCCTTGATTCCTGAAACTCCCATCCGTGCACTCCAGTTCGAGGCCTGGCTATTGGAAGCAGCGTCGTCTGTGTCCTTGGGTTATAAGTTGTAAGGTATGAACAGTTAGAAATATAGTCTTTGCCCGACCATGAAAACTATTAGGAATCTGAACAGCGCCAAAAACTACCGTAAGACTCGTCTCTAGTATAAGAATACTATAACAATATCAAAAATAGTTTCAATCATAATATACTCTCTGAACCGCTCTGACCCGAGGTGTGAGTCACGAGGCCAACGATCTTGAGGCAGCAGAAGTCTGACCAGACTCTTTGTCTTTTTCCGACGATGCAGCGGTTTACCGTCAATTGCTTTTCTAAGTCTTAAGTGAGAGATAGCGATCAGAAGAAGTGCCGTTCAACGGTGTAGGTTCCTACCACCTTTCGCTGCCTATGCGTCGTCTTTCCGTCTCCCTGCGGTCTGCACAGTGGATAGCAGATTGTGGCCTGGCATACATGGGTCGCAATCGTCGCGTCGTTCAAGTTCACCCCACACTTCAGCTCATGCCATCTACCGCCTCTGTGAGACTATGCCTTACGATTGCACTGCTTTTGCGACGTCATTCGGGGAACCACCGGAAGTACGACTACGTTAGTCGCATGCTGCGAAGCAGCTATCAGCAGCAAGTGGGGCCTCGCAAGGTTCCATAGGTGCTCTGATATATCATATATAACATATATAAGATGTGATACTCATATAATGTATACTTATATATGATATGTTATATCATATATATATATACATACATGTATTATATTGCTGATTTCTGTACATTGCAGGGCCGCTCTTTCAGCACCTTACCTTGCTGATAAAGACGGCTGCCAAGGGAACCTTCCTGCACTTCCACTTTTTCGGCCTCTGCTTTTTATGTGGATGATGCAAAGGTGCTTCACAGTGAAGCTGAATTTCGTCGTCCTACATGCTCGCATCTAGGTAGCGAAGTCTTTGACGCTAGAGCTGCTACAGTCACGGAGCACATGGACGACTCGGTAGCCTTGCCACTGTTTTCATGAGCACACATAAGCTGTTGTTGACGGGCCAGCCCGTCAAGCAAATTCGCTGAGATGGAGAAAGACGAGCTGCTGAAACCTACCAATCGGCGATATTGGAGTTCAACCTGAAGAAGAAGCCGACTTTGCTTATTCGGACTCAGCGTTTGCACCTAATGCGTCTCAGCAGGCCTGAGGTCAGCCGAGATAGATGCGACGACAGGTGCGGCGAACCTTGGAAAGTGAAAAACCTGAGTCCTCACAAAAACTAGTTATTGAGCTGCCCCCGCCTTCGACACTTGCAGCCGCAGTGTCATAGGATGTCTTTCGTCGCACCTGCTGCAAGTCATGACGAGGCCTCCAGTTCAGCAGTAGTGTAGGCTTCCTGCTCACGAACGCGGCACCAGTGTCTTCCTGCAAGGGAATGCTTATGCCTGCTGCAGAGGCGGCCTGACCTGGTCGTGAGCGCAGACCTTTTAAAGCCCAAATGAAAAGTCACTTGTGCATTGTGCCACGGTGCTGTTGCTTCAGGCAGTTCTCATGCTTTACGCCTAGCAGACGTTACCTGCTAGTCTGCTCTATTCTGTCATCATCAAACCCAAAGCAGGGAATGATCAAATAGCGCTTGTCGGTGCGTCCTTTCAGCCATAGTCGCTAGGTACGGTGCGTCAGTGCTGGTGCACGGCAGGCGGACTGTGGCATGGCGGCCGACTGGCTCGCCGACACGATGTTGTGATTTCCATGCAGTGACTGCAGTGATAATGTTTCAACCTTGTCCCTGGCACGGTAATTTGTGCATCTGCAACGTCGCAGTCGTGGTTGAAAATTAGTGAAGGCATAGAAGTTCCAATCAATTTTACTGGAGCCGGAGACATCCTAAAGAAAGCACGTTTTGAAAATTGAAAAAGAAACGCGCGTTGCACCCAGCAGCCCCGAGCAACACTCAGGTGTCGCTTCCGAGGTTTGGAAAGGGGGGCCAGTAGCTCCTGAAGTTTAAAACTAGTCTCGACTGCGCAGCTGTGGGTGAAGACTAGAATCTTCGGCCTCAACCCTAAAGAATACATCCCTCATCCTTGCTAAGTGGGAGGAAAAAAATTCTCTAAACCCGCAAAGCCGAGGGGTTTACCATGGTTTACCTTTCAGAGACCCCAGAGAAGGCCGCAGCTTTCCGGCTTGAAGATGCCATGTTGTCGGCTCGTACAGCTCCATGGATGAGGAGCCGGGCCTTTGGGTTTTTTTTTTGGGGTTCGGAGTCAGCCCAGAACATCAGAGAGTTGCAGATTCCAGAGAGGTTCTGAGTTTCTTCGAGGCTTTGGGCTTTCCAGAGTAGCTGCAAGAGTGCAGCCTACCCGGCCTACCCTGCAGGCTGGCTTCTGAGATATCTGAAGCTGTAGATGGATGGAAGGGAGGATGGATAGATGGTTAGGTGGGGGAGTGGGGTTCGCCCCAAGGTCCCTCGAAAGAAAGAGACAGAGAGAGAGAGAGAGAGAGAGAGACTCGTCCAGACCCACTTCTGCTCCTGTTTGGTGCGGATGGCAGTAGTGATTGTGATGATAGTTGCGGTAAGCACAGTTGCTACTGCAATCGGTTGTCGGTGCTTTGGGGTCCCAACCTGCTTAGAGTCGCGGGCCCTGAAGCGGCACGGCCAATTTTTTGCAGGAGTGGACGCATGCAGAGGCGGAGAGGGAACAGGCGGATCTGAAATGAATTTCAGGAAGCCCGTAGCCTGGTGAGAGCTCAGATCCCCAACCACATGCGATGCCGATAGATCTGACTGCAAAGTTTCTGAAACCCATGAATTGTTATGCATTATTTTGTTGTAGTAGAGACACGAAGCCTGACAGAGTGTCCTCTTCAATGTGCCTGTTTAATGTGCGGTGAGGTGTCACTGAGGGCGCAGGTCACGCTTCTGAAGCAGCCGTGTGCTCAGACATGTGCAGGCAAGTAGATAGTTGGTATAGGTAGATGTATGGTAGATACATACATAGATCGCTCGCTCTCCGTCTCCGTCTCTCTGTCTCTCTCTCTCTGTCTCTCTCTCTCTCTCTCTCTCTGTCTGTCTGTCTGTGCAAATGGAAAAACGACGGAAGCGAGCTTGACACGGAGCGCCGTGGCCTCGGAAGAGGGCAGCCCTCGCTCATGGCAAAGGCTTTTTTCAACAGAGCTACTGAAAATACTAATAATGATCATAAAACTACTACGATCGCTAGTCAAACGTTCGAAGTCTACCATGCGGATGCTGACGACGAACGCTGACTAAGCTCAGAGGCACGATTGAGCACTTCGGTGCCACGAGTCTGGCACTCCGGGTGTCTTTGGCCGTGACAGCCAAGCAAGCGCATTCAAGAACCCCTTGCTTGAGCTGAGTGCTTCACATCAACGAACTGCGAACCTCACCATCTGCAATGACTATACAACTGTCCGACAGAAAGTGCCGAAATCCGGACAAAAAGAGCTGAGAGCAAAACTGCCCATTCCCAGGTCTCAGGCTGCAGCCCAGGCCGAGATCTCCAAACTGCGGCGGGAGCTCGCGCAGAGGACCAGAGATTGGCCATGTTGTTTGAAGACAGTGCATCGTTCCGTGTCTCTTTCCGTGGTGGTGGTGGTGGTGGTGGTGGTGGTGATGGTGATGGTGATGGTGCTGGTGAGTAGTTGGTTTCTTGCGGCGGTGGTGGTAGTGGTCGTCGTCGACGTCGTAGCACTAGTTTTAGCAGTCGTAGTCGTTGTTGCCGTACGTCGCCGCCGTCGTCGTCGTAATTAGTAGTCGTAGTGGTAGCCGTCGTGGTCGTCGACGAGTCGTCGACGATGACGACGACGATGTCGGAGTGGAAATGGGAACAGAGGCTGGAGCAAGAGTGGGAACAACCGCAGGAGCAGCGGTGGATGGCAGCAGCAGGAGGGGAGGAGGAGGAGGAATAGCAAGCTAAGTACATGATGACTACCACTGCGACTATGACGAAGACGACTACCACTGCTCAAAGCTGCTGCTGCGAAGACGGCGTAGCAGCACCGGTACTGGTGGTGGTGGTGGTGGTGCTGCTGCTGTGCTGGTGGTGGGGTGGTGAGGTCTTTGTGATCTTGTCGTAGCGTGGTCGTGGCCATGATGCTTTTGGATTTGGTTTCTTCGCATGATCTTGTTTCATACTGGCACCATCACTTTAAGGATTCATCAAACCGTGTCTGAACTCCGGGATACCCAGTGAAGAATGCCAGCAGTCGCAGACTGAAGGCCGAAATTACAAACATGCATGTAACTGTGCTAGTGATTCGCAGCGACACCTGCCAGGAGTTCGAGCATAGTTCCCCAGATCTTTAATTTCGCCAGCCGACAACGACCAGAGTCATATTATGCAGCCCGGCGGGGAGCAGTTGGTTCGGCAGTAATTATCATTTCTTGAGATTGCGAGACCAGTGGGCCCATGAACCTGATTCCAGTGCCCACGCTGCCGGCGGTTGAACGTACTCGCTGCGGCTTCACCGGCACACAACGGGATGTTCTTTGCAGCGTCCTTGTTTCAGTAGTACACTTCAGACCACTTATGTATCAAACTGTTCAGTTTGTCCGCCTTAGAGACCTAGGCGGCAACCCTGACGAAATGATTCAAGCAGGAAAATTCCCAAGGAAACCACAATCTTGACAACTACACCTGTTCAGACAAAGGACTGGCAAGCGGGTAAGAGCAGTCTACTACAAATGTAGACAGGAAGATGCAGAGATAACCTACGGTGCTTACATCCCACGTATGCTTGCGGACATGTGTGCTTTCTCTTATGCGCTTGCCCTGTAGTTACACTGTAGTTCACGCCACGATCTATGAATGTACACAAGCTCGTTTCGCATGCCGGTAAGGCCGCCCGCCCGCTCATACACCCATCCGCAAAACAAATCGCCCACCTGCCCACCCAACGGTGTACCGACACGCGCTCACGCACACAGCCACTCACTCTCCCCCTCCCTCCCTCTCGCTCGCGCTCTCGCTCTGTCTCTCTCTGTGTCGCTCTCTCTCCCTCCCTCTCTTGTTTTTCTTTGTTGTTTTATGTTCTTTTCGAAAGCCGCAAGCCCAGCCGAAGCAGGCTTCTTTGCGGGCAAATTCTCTACCAACCTTTTCCCACACAGCTGCGGCTGAACAGTGCCATATGCAGCCTACAGACAAGCACCGAATTACATAGCAAAAGCTTGCACATCAGTTCACACCCTACGTCTTGTGCTCTGAGGTGGGGGATGCGAAAGACCCGGACACGGAACGCAGCGCTTACAGCGACCAGAGTTCCGTGTCCAGTGCTCCGTCAAACATTGAGTCTAATGCGTGGCTCGGGGTTGAGGTTTGAGGTTTGTAGCTTCACACCTTGAATTGAAATTTGGAAAGATTCCACTTCAACGTTTGGGTTTGGGGTTGTATAGGTTGTAGCACGACACGAAGGATTCCTGGTGGAGGTCGTGTAGGCGCTGATGGGTTTTCGGGCTTAGGTTCCTTCCTACCACAAATCCATGGCTTAATACTTAATGGGGTTTAGAGTCTAGGGCTTTAAAGGTTTTGGTTTTGTGCCGGAGCATGGCCAATACATCCGTATCAACACAGGCTGGCCCAAATTATCCGAGGTACAGGTGCCTTTACCTGTGACCAAGCCGTTGGCTTTCCTGAAAGCTTCTTTCAGACACGGTCTTAGAGTCTCCGTATGTTTCACAGCTGCGTTGCTGGGGTCGAATGAGGTGATGGGCGCAGGGACGACTCTCCAAGAGGTTGCGCTGCAGATGCCTCTCGGCACAAGATCCGAGGTTGGTTCTCGAGAATCGGGGGGAGTCTGTTTGTTCAACTGAGTTTAACTTGCTCAAGCATAGTATATCACACGAACAACTCGTGGGGGGGTTTCCGTGCACCACCTCCAACCAGTCCACTCGCACGCAGGAGGGAGAGAGAGAGAGAGAGAGAAAGAATAAGTTTTTTTTTGAAGGAAGAAGAAAGAATAAGAGGCGCTGACAAATTATTATGCCTGGTGTTGCCTCAAGGGCTTGTCGGCTAAGCCATATGGGTGCAAGGTTCGGTCATCTTTTCATCATAGAAGATGCGGCTCTTGATCAGCATCCGTCTCATAGTCACCACACTCAGCGCCGCCACTATCAGCAAGAGCACCTGCGCTGCAGTCTACGACACACTCCCATCGTCATCAACATCACGTTTTCATCATGTCTATCATCGCCGCGTGTCCCTCCACAATGGCTACGGCTCAAGCCTGGCGGTTGATACAAAGGCCCAGTGTACAGTGCCGCTCTTACCTGACACAGCATGATACGGACCGGTCCCGTGTTGTTGCTCCTGGCGGCCTCCTTGGAGGCGGCCCAAGGCGCAGAGAACGTCACAAACGACACGGCGGATGCGGTTCTGAGTGCTGCAGACCAGCTGAACATCAACACAAACTCTGAAGGGGATCTGGACACCTTCCTCTCCGCGATTTTCTTGAACAGCATGATCGCTGCAGGATGCATTCTTGCATTCAGCATCCTCCGCATCAACTTTCCCATCGTGTACTCGCATCTACAGCCGGAAAGCAACAAGGCCCTCGCCGGTGAGCCCAGCGAGCCCAGCGTGCAGACTTTGCAGAGCCGGGCCTGGGGGCTTACGGCCAAGCTTTGCGACTGGGTGGGCTACAGCATCAACACCAGCATCGAGGACGCCGTGGATAGGGCTGGCCTCGACGCCGCCCTGTTGCGCGAGTACACTTGGCTCGCTGCTCGCGTGCTGGGCAGCATTGGGATACCCATGTGCCTCATCGCGATCCCTATCACCAAGACACTCGGGGGCAACGGAGATGTGGACAAGCTCAGCCGCATCGAAATGGCCGCCGTGCAAGACAATCATGCCTGGCTTTTCTACGCGCACGCCGTGGTGGTTTGGCTTGTCTGCTTCGTGGTGCACTACTGGCTCTTCAGTGCACAGGCCAAGTTTCTTGACCTCCGGGTCAAGTGGCTGACAAATCTGCCTGCTCCGCGATCAACGACGGTGATGGTCGAAGACATCCCAAAGGAATGGAGGTCCGATAGCAGTTTTTCAGTAAGATCTTCTCCCCGGAAGACGTCCGCGAAGCCCATGTGGTGCAGCACGCGGATGCTCTGGCCAAAGCGGTTTCAAAGAGAGAGCAGCTGCTGGCTGTAAAGCGCCAAGCAGAAGCCACTATGGAGAAGACCGGCAAGGAGGAAATGATCCGGCCAACTTGCTGCAGTTCGAAGGTGGATGCTTTGGAGTATGCAAACGACGGCTTGCAGGGAATGGACGAAGACATCGTCGAGCTGCTGCACAAAATCAGAGAGAGTCAAGAAAAGGACCCGGCAGCGACCGGCGCCCACTGTGGCTTCGTGACGTTCGCAGGCCGGCGTTTTGCCGAGCTGGCGCAGAGTCTTCAAATCCATGCCGACAGAAACCAATGGCAGGTCTCTGCTGCGCCGCCGGCAGATGATCTTCGGTGGTCGGACCTGCGAGGAAGCCGGGAGTTGAACAACGGAAAGCGCCTGGTGGGATGCCTTTGCGTGGCGGGCTTGTACATCGGCTTCATGCCTATCACTCTCGCAATCACGGTGTTCGCCAAGCAGCTCGATGTAGGACCATTCCAGCCTCTGTGGAATGCCTTCGCGCCCACTCTTGGTCTCACCATCTTCCTGTCCTTGCTGCCTTCTGTGATGATGGCCATCTTCCGGGCGTTTTTTGTGCTCAAGGCGGAGTCGTTCGCGCAGCACAAGCTGCAGTTTTGGTTCTTCGTCTTCCAACTGATCTTCGTGGTGCTTGTCACAACGGTGGGCAACTCCCTGCTGCACAAGTTTACGACCCTGGTCGAGGATCCCACTTCCATATTCACCGTCCTGGGTGAGAGCGTGCCGAATGTCACCCACTACTACATGACGTACCTCGTCCTCCAGTGGAGTGCACACGCCATGGAGATGCTCCGGTACATGAACTTGATCAAGTTCCAGTTCTTCAAGGTGCTTTTCACTCCGGAGGAAGCGAAAAACCTGTCCGAGCCGGAGAACCAGGACAGCTTCGGATTCGGTGCTCGCAGTGTCAACCTTTCCATCAACGTGGTGCTGGGCATCCTCTTTTGTAGCATTTCGCCATTGATGCCGGTCTTAGCCATGATCGATTGCTTGCTTGCTCGGCTCATCTACGGGTACCTCGTCATCTACACGGAGACCAAGAAGCCCGATCTGGGTGGCGCGTTCTGGGTAACCCAGCTTGGCCATATGCATTTGGCTCTGGTGCTCTACGTGATCCTCATGGTGGGTGTCCTCCAGCTTCGGTCAGATGAGCCGGCACCAGGAATCATCGCCGCTTGCAGCCTGGTGTTTGTCCTATGGTCTTTCATCCGTTTCCGGCAGCAGTTCAGGTGGCAAAGGCTTCCTTTCAAGGAAGTGGCCTTTGTCGCAGAAGAGACCCTTGACCAGCAGAAGGACGAGGGTCGAGGAGAGGGAGAGTTGTCGGCCAAGTGCTATGTGCAACCCGAACTCCGCGCAGCAGACAGCCTCGAAGCCGAAGCGACATTGGCCTAAGCATTCATGGTGTAAAGATGTGTTGGCTGTCACATGGCAGCTTCGGAAAACGATGGTTGCCGAGGATGGCTCTAGGTCTTTTTGTAGATTCATGAAAGAGCCGGATCTTTGTCCTTGCCGCGAATTCGCGCGTGTCAAGTACCAGCTGCAAGGTTGAGCCTGTATCTCTTGCCTGAATTCGACTCTGCAACACATGATTGCAGCGTTGTGTGATTGTTATTGGCTGGATCCGACATCCCACGGCCATCTGCTGCGTTGCTTAGTGAAGCAGTCGACCACATCTCGAATTCCAAAGTCTCTCCCCGGAGATGCGCGACGAACCGCAGCACGTGGCCCGGGTCCACAACAGCAGCCACCGCAACGAAGGAAGGTTGGTTTAGGTTTCAGGGTTGTGGCTTTTTTATGGAAGCAGGAAGAACAATGTAGCCCTTTAAACGGTTGGTAAGTGGACGAACAGTCTACCATTCCTCCGTGGCAGGTGCATTTACGGTTCCAGCTCCGTAGGAATGTAGGAGTATTGTGATTCGACTTGCCCTGGCAGTTCTCTACCACGAAGGGCTGCTCGCCGGGCTGTCGGGAAAGCCGGTCAACAAAGGTTGCACTATGCAAGCACACCCTGTGGCCATCAGAGCGGGAAAACAGTGGCTTTGTGGACGTACTAGCTGATATTTGTATTTGATGCTTTAAGCGGGTAGAAGGCTGACAAGTGGTACATCTCTTCAGCGTCAGGGTTTGTGTTGTGTTGAAGCCAGCCTCGCCGATTTTCGATCTCATGCCTTATCCTGCTGTAGGAGATGCTGGAAGGGATGTGGTTGCGTAGCAGTCCCAACAGGCTTTGATATCCTCTCTAGATTTTTTAGCGTTTCTGGTGTCCTTTACCAAGTCGTTGCGAAGGGGCAAAAGTAGCCTGTAGCCGTGAGTTTCACATGGGTTTGTGGACACATCCCTTTTAGGGATGTCGGTTTTGTTACATGTGAGTTTAGGCGCCGTGGAGAGGAAAGGTGCAAAACGATCTCGACAGCTGCACACACAGTAGGCCCATCAATCGCTTGGTATGTGGCTGTATGGTGGTAAGGAGGTATCTTTCTGTGACAGATGGGCACCCGCTTGTCCGAGTGTGAGTGTCAAAAATCCCTAAAGGGCGTCCAGCCAAGGCTGATAATTAGTGCACGGGCAAAGACACCTCTGGCAGCGAACAGCACCGAGCGAGAAAAACCCCTAAAACCCTAGCTACCCCCCACGCAACCTCCGGCCCAGGTTCCCACCACCGACTCGATAGGCTGCACGGTCCCTTCTTTGTGTGGTATGGTGGTTTCTTAAATCAAGGCTTGAGGGTTGAGGACTAGGAATGTTTAGGATATGATGGTGGTTTCTCAGAATTAAGGGTTTAGGGTTCGGGGTTTCTGGGTCCGTTTGTAATAGGATCCTACTAGTTAGGGTCCATGTACTCCCATAAGTTGTTCCGGGATTCGGGTGGGGACCCTGACTCGCAGGATGGGTCTCGGAGTTATAGCCTCGGGAGTCCGGAGAGCTGAGGCTATGTTTAGCTCTCCCTTCGTCTATGTACCTTTGTATATGTGCGTGTGCATGTAATTATGGATTTATGCATGGATGGATGGATGTTTCGATGTATGTATGTATCTTTGTCCCTGTGTATGTCTACGTATGTCTAGTTATTCAGGTTCTCTGGCATCTCATGTCCACAGCATTTGGGGCAAGCTGTGACAGCCTAGAGCACCATCTGGCGAGCCGTGTCTGTCACATGCACGGAGAGGGCCCTTCAACTCCACAGGTAGCTCTCCTCAAACCCACGTCGTCCTGAAGAGCGCTGGAGCTTCTCAAAAGAGACCTGGAGTGCCACCTGATGGCTTCGTTTCCATCCCTCTGCCTCGTGATGTATTCCGGGTTCTTGTCGCCCTTGGCCTTGGCCATTGTGGTGCCGACGGTCCACGAGTATTCCAGAAAACTGGGGGCAGGGGAGATGTTCAACGGACTTGTCATTGCTTTGACGCCTTTTCTGCAGGTCCTCTCAACCGCTGGATGTTGACAGTAGCTACCATGAAGACCGTGCGTATGCTCATGGCTGCACACCTGGTCTTGGGACACATCATCTACTCCCTTGCCGGGCTCATACCGATGGCCGTTCTTGTCGCACGCTCCGTCATTGGCATTTGTCAGTTTCAGCTGGGTGTGGCCATCTACATCGCAGACGCTTCTGTGTCAAGTTGTTTGTGTACCGCGGCGCTGGCGGCGGCTCCAGCTGTTTGCGGGTTGCTGGACAGCCCCTTCCTGCATGAGCTGCGGATTCAAAACCTCGTGCTGGACTCAGACACAGCCCCCGGATGGTTCATGGCGATTGTCTACTTCTTGTACCTGTTGAAGGTGGTCTTCTTTATCGAGAACCGGCAAGAATCGCCTTCACAGGAAACCAGCCCTGCCACTCAGGAATCTCCGGCTGAGAGGTGAAGCCTGCTGGCGGGTTTTGCGAGCACTATGACAACCGTTAGATGCAGGGTCTTCTTCACCCAACTGTCGCAGCAGTCTTGGCACTGGAAGGGAAGTGCTGAGTTCATGGGCTCTCGCAGGGCTGATGGCGGTCGTGTGTGTGTGTGTGTGTGTGCGTGCGTGCGTGCGTGCGTGCTGTCACTGGGGAGCAGCCGGATTGTGAAACGCTATTGCACAGTGCTCATGCAGAGTCATAGCCAGAAGTTGCATAGATGCTGGCTTGCATGGTAATTATCCTGAATCGGGATGCTTGGACATTCTGAGAGTTGCCAGAAACGTTGAAGACATGATGCGACTTCTGCCGGGGTATCGTTTGCATGAGTACCTCAGTATCTGCAAAACATTAGTTGAATTGCGAATGGTTGCTGTATATGCTGCTTGGAATGCCGAAGATTGTGATTGCGGAGTAGCGCCTATAATGCTCTTAAGCAGTGGCCCCGTTGAACCCCATGTCCACAGAACCCCGTGGTCGACTCCAAGCATCAGCTGCCGAAAACTGCAAGGACGAAAGACTGAGTCTTCAATGTCCTCAGAGCTCCAAAAACGCGGAATTACGGGGCTATTATTAACAAATGCGTAGGTCGCGTGAGTAGCGTGCCAAGTCGCTGGGCAGGCGCTTCGGATTGGCTGGCCTTCGACATGGATGGGCCCTCAGCCCTCCGGGGGTCCATCTTCGAATAGTAGTTACGACAGCAGCTCAGTGGCTCCTCATCCCAGCAAAATTAAAGACTTTGCAGACCTGCTGAAGCTTCGGACAAGGTGGCGACGCTTGTTGCCGGACCCGGTGTAGGGCGAATCGGCGTAGGCTTCCTCAACCTGCCGCCGGTGCCTTTAGTGGTGAAGAGGGTCAGCAGCCCAGCTTCGTGTAGGAGGGTGCAGAGTTTTGAGGCTTCGTGAAAAAAATGTGTTCGGGCAGGTGGGCCGTCCTGCCAGCTAACACTGTTAACACGAGGTCGACTTTTTGTGGCTGGTCCATGAAGTTGGGTCCAGTGATCCAGGGCGAAGAGCATGATCTGCTCCGAGAGCTCCTCGAATCTTCGCCAGGTCACCAGAGGCTCCTGGGCGGAGAAGCAAGGTTCGCCCCTCTCTTGAGCATTTGTGTTGTTTGGAGTCTGAAGCCTCTGCATTTGCCACACGAGTGCCACAGCAAGCATCCTGGCCAATGGGCTGTGCAAAATGCCACAGGCTAAGTGAAGGCTCCGATCAATGAGTCAAGGAAGATGGTCCCGCGATGTCATTACTTTGATCTGTCAATCTTGAAGCAGTTGAAGTTGCGCAGTTTCCAGCTCGTGGTCCGGTGTCGGTTTGAGGATTGAGGAATGCCAGGAGAGCCATATCGCAGATATTCCGTTTGTTGTTTCTCTGAATGGGCGGCCAAGGACACAACACCCTTGTTACGCGAATCAATATGACACTGTCAACGTTTGTAAACCATGAGTGAACCAGGATGTATGCGAGCCTAAGCTATTTCATGATGGCTCCGGGGGCGGGGGGGGGGGGGGGGGGGTTGTGAAGGACAGCAACGAGGACAATAATCATTCGTGCGTGTGTGGATGAGATGTTGCCTATTCCAAGAGTTCAAGGCGAACACTGTTTCTACACAGGAACAACTGTATCACCCCGTAACTATCAATGCCCCTGCTCCAACTCTGTTGGTAAACTCTTCAAAGGCAAAAGCCTTTTTGTAAACAATAGGGCCTCTATACTGGACCCTGTAATACATCCCTACATAGCACTACAGAAACCTTGTGCACCCGTTTCAAGAACCCGTCCAAGAAGCCTTATTCTAATTGCAAAGGCCCCTACAACACCTGTACCTTAGAGGCATCCGCTGTGGCGACGAATTCATGCAACTTCGCCGCAGTCTTTCAATCGGAAGTGGGATCTAGGTTTCATTTAGTGTTTAGGGGCTTGGGGTTCGGAATTCAGGGGTTAATTCAGGGTAGGTTGACATCTCAATAGCAAGAGCGTGGGAACAAACAGTATGTAAAGAACACATCGCGACAGCAAGACAAGAGGAAACTAGTCACTAGTCACAGCAGAAGAACGCGAAGAACAGCGCAGATTGGTAGCTTGGCAGTGGCTAGAAACCACAAGACTGAGTCTGCTAGTAGAAATTAGTTGAAGAGTATCCCGAGCAACGGTGAATAAGAAGAGTGCAAGCTACAAGAAAATGCTCACACGAACAATACAGCCATAACAGGTACAACGGCAATAAATGGCATACGCACGGCCATGACAAGCGTAATTGTACTGGCCATGAGCTGAAAACATACAAGACGACAAACTAAGCCTACAATGTCCAAGGGTTACCAACACTAGCAACTATCAAAGCAAAACAACTTGGGAGGAGCAGTTGTGACAAGACCAAAACAGCGGTAACACGAAGAGAGGCCAAATCCCTGAAGCCTAAGGTCCAAAGCCAACCAGATAAGAGCAGGTCCGTGGACCATCGGAGGTCTCGTGCCTTCACATCCTCGGAGTTTGTGCAAGCGATGAAGAAGCGGCCTTTGGTGATCAAGTGGGCTCCTCACCTTTCTTCGGGTTCGCGGTTTGGCGTCGGGGGTTTAGGGCTTGGGCTTTGGGCAAATTGGGGGCTTCTGCTGCCTTTCGTTTAGGCTCAGAGAGTTCCAGGTTTCGGTTCAGGATCCTGGTCCCATTTACCTTCCAGTTCCAGTACATATGGAGCTATAGATGTTCACAGAATGTCACTTCCTATTCCTTGAGTAGTTTCAGGGATGAGTGTCGGGGCCTGGGATTCATTTAAAGCTTGAGATCCGGAATCTTTGACCTGCTGAGCCCTGAACCCCTTTCACAAGAAGGGGGAGTACACCTGTCAGGTCTTAGGCTTTGAGTTACGATAACTGCCGGATATGGCTTGATGAAATGATGAAACCCGCCCTAAACCCTTAGCCCATCGATCCTCAGCCATGCGAGAGGGAAAAAAAAGCCTAATTCCCTAAACCTCAAGATTTTAGGGATTTCTCCGGCTTGAACAGGTTGAGACGGACGGTGCGGAAGGAAGGAGCCGAGGCACGCCGGGAATGACAAGCCGCCCCCCTCCGAGAACCACGGGCTTTTTTTCATGGGGAAAAGGGTTAAAGGTACTATGATGACTTCGGGAGATTGATAACTGCAGGGGTTGTCGTGCTTGGGCTGTACAACCTTCTTGAGAACAGAGTCTTGGGCCTTGCTCTAGGACTGTAGGCTCTCTTCTGGTACTTTTACATGACACTCACATTTGGGCCGAGTTCGTCAGGTCCCCGTCCTGCCGCAGTTGGCAAGCTTCGGCGCGGAGGTGGTTTGTCTCTGGGATTCCTCGAAGGGAGTCGCCTTGGGCGAGAGGATTGGAACTGGGAGAGTTTTGCAGGCTTTTAGGAATCATGGTTGTAATATTGTAATCATCGGTTCGATCGGTTTGCTTGCGATTGTATGTGGTGCAGTATGGCTAGGTATTGCTACGGTGCGGTGCGGTTCGATACCAGCCACACCCCCTTCCAGCCAAGCCCCCCTTTCCATGCCCACACGCCTCCACCTCCATCCATCCTCCATCCAGCTCCTTCCTGCAAACTTTGCCTACTCTCTTTGCCCCTCCGGCCGAGCTCTCTCCAACCCTAGCAACCTCTGCCCTGCAATCATGTTGGCCTGAGCCAACTCGGCTATTCCGAATAGCCGAGTTGGCTCAGGCCAAAAAGGGTAGGCTGCCAGCAACCCGACATCTGCCGAGGCGCCGGACACCCAGAGTACGGACCAAGAGGAGGAGGAAGAAGAGGACTGGAGCATAGTGCAGCACGAAGTGGGAAAGCATCAAGGTTTAGCGAGGCCTCTCGGTGGCGTATGTCGCTCCCCATGCCAGCACTGAGGTCATCCTGCGCCCCGTGCTAGAGCGATCGATCACGCCTTCAAGTTTAAGATCCTCTTGATGTACCGGGATTGGTACAAAAGGGAGTTGTGTGCTTTTTTCAGGAGGATGAGGAAGAGGACGAAGCAGAAGATATGTGTCCAGCCAGGGCCCCGAGAGCAACGTCTCGGGTTCTCTTCTTTCGCAGGCGGCTTGTTCTTGCGAACTTTCGGCATGAGGCAAGAGATCCCGTCTCGATGATAAAAAAACCCCCAAAATCTTCTGAATGCCGGCCTGTACATCCCTGGAGCCTCGTCAGATGACTAGCTGTGAACCACATCCCGGGCTACTCTAGACTCAACGGAGCAAGGTCGAAACCCCCTATTTCGTGTGCGAGCCCCGACACCCTAAACAAAACATTGACGAGCCCTCCGCCAAACTCAAACCCGAAACTATTGAGTTTTCGACTCTCGTGATTACCTCTGGTCTGAGGAGAAAGCTCAAGAGGTGAGCGACGCCTCGTCATGCGGTAAGGGGAGCAGCATTCGGGGTGGTAAGGTTCAGGGTGGAATCATGGGAGCGAGTTTTGTTCGGGGCCATGCAGGCTTTGTGCATTCAGATCATGGATTGGGGTCGCATCTTCTTGAGACACTTGGCACCAGGCTCGCTTCCGGGATTTGTGCCAATGGCAGCACGGAGTACCATGGAACATTCGTGCCATACCTGCCAGGTGGCAGAGAAGCTAGCCAAAGAGGCCATGAAATGTGTTCTGTCCTGGTGAGGGTCATATGCCGATGAATGTCGCTGAGCGTTTTTCCTGGGTTTTTCGACCGGGCTTCCGATGTTTCAGGTGGAGGCCAATGCGAAGAAGGACGAGAAGCGGCGGAGTCTCTTAAAGAAGCCCCAGGCCGCGGCTCTGCCCTCCAGGCGGCTCAGTGAGTCGGAGAAGCTGGGCTTCTCTTGAGGAGATTGGGTTCAGATACCAGGAGCAAAGAGTCGCAAGACAAGGGTGGTAGTCAGAATAGAGGTGGAATCCCTGTTCATGGTACTTCATGCTAGTCGTCGGCCATTGGGGATGTATAGTAACTCCAAGAATCTTCCCTTAGTGTGGGAAGTGTACGAGCCAAGGAAGCGGCTCTCACTGCCATCCTTCAAAGACGATCGCTTGGCAGACGTTACTTGGCCGCACCTCGATTAGGGTAGGGTTTAGGGTTCAGGGGAGACACTTGGCTGCTTGAAAACATCGGAGGTTCTCGGAATTTCCGGGATTCAGGATTTCTGGGCCTCCCCCCCAAAAAAGGGGGTTCAGGACTTCGGGGGAATAGGTAGGGGCATGTAAAGGGTGTTAGTGTGCCGGCTCCGGAGCTGATTGGCAACAAGAGTTTGGGCTAGCGTAGTGCCACGGTACCCAGACAAAGTTCTTGGCTTTGTATGACTTCTGATTTCTGATCGGCCTCCTCTTTAACACCTCGTCGAAGGTGGAATCGCAGACCCCAAACCCCCCAAAATTGCAGTTCCGTCCGCGGAAAAGACATTTTGTCTATGCTGACGGAAGATTGCTGTAAATATTGAGGAGTTTCTGAGCATGAAGCCACGACGACTTTTGATCTGCATGGAGTGTGAGATGACTGATGTTAATTCTAATCCACAACGATGGACCATATACACCTAGACCATTTTGAAACAGTGCAACCGTTTGTCTGATCGCTGAACCCTCGGAGGATAATAAGTCCTGCTGTATATGGGCATGCGCACCAAGGATGTGGAGAGCCCCATTGGATGTTATGCGCGGTTGGTTTTGTTTACGTGGCTAGATCTGTTTTTTGGTTATGGATGCTCTCTCTCTCTCCTCGCGTGGGCTTATGTTCAGGTAGCAAGCTCGGACAGAACCTACCATGCCTGCATTGAGCGAGTGTGTGAGTCGAAACCCCTCTAAGCGTAGACTCTAAACCAAAGGAGTCGAGTAGCTGCAGTTGGAAAAGGGCCGGCCAAAAAAAACAGGAGACAGACCAACCGGACGAAGAGGCAGCCGACCAGGAGATCTCCAGAAAGGGTGGTTTCTTCACCAGGGGTGCTCGTGATACGTATCCGAGTCCTAGCCTAGCATTTCGGGTCTTCGTAGGGCCACTCACATTCCTTAACTTTGCAGATGTCATTGTCCAGGGAAGGCTTTTTTGGTGCAGGTGTTGCGTCAGAGTTTGCCCGACCGTAGTGTTAGCGGAGAAGAAGCAGTAAAACTTCCAAATCCTTTGTATGCCTCCTCTTCTCTCCTTCAACTCTACTCGATGTTGACACAGCTCTCAAGACTCGATGTGCTCGGATCTTTTCGGTACCCTGGTACGCAGATTCGTATTCGGAGCCTCAAGCCGCCCCGACCTTTGGAGCATCGAGTTCAGAGAGTACGTGCTTACTAGTTTTTGCTGGTTCATGTATGTTTACATACCATATGCACGACTGCAGGTGTGTGCATGGAGTAGAAGTGATGTGGAAGTGCAGCTCTCAGTCTCCCCCCCAAAATCGCCCGAGACCTACCTGATGCATTAAGCAATGCAGACCCCAGCCCCAAAGAAAAGAGCATCGAAGAAGGCCCCTTCAGCATTGGGAGCTCTCTGCGAGGAGCGGAGTTCCAAGGAAAGCCGAAGTGAACATGAGGACTCTTGGGTTTAGGGCCTATCGGGTTTTGGGGTTTCCCATGGTGTTCCAGGGTTCCGATGAGGTGTGCCGAAGCTACAGGGTGGGGGGTTGCTTTGTTTCCAGCCGACCGTCCCAACCCCTCCAAGCAAGAGCCCTGAAAGCCACCTGAAGAGCACCACTCCGTGAGGAGGAGGAAGGCAACATGAGCTGCAGTACAGCCCTCATCGACTCGAGCACCGCGCTCAATACGGTTTGCGTGGGAGGTTTGATTCCGTACTTCGGTACCTGTAAGTGCTTTCTGACCTGTGCTTCCGGTGTCTTCACGAGAAGGAAGACACTCGAAGCACGGACCACTGGCACGAAGCCTCCTCATGTGAGCTGCCCAACTCTGGCCCCCACCTGGGAAGGTACGAGCATCGAATCCACTCCCACGATGGATGCAGCCCAGAGCACCGGTCTGAGATTCTAGCAAGTTCTGCACAAGGTTAAGGGTTCAAGCAGGGGTGTGCAGAGGCGGAGTCCAGCTTCAGCTGCTACTACTACTACTACT